GAGTTTTATTCTTAGAAACTGCTTTATGACTTTAATATTTTTTTATTTTTGCATCTAATTGTTCATTTATTCATGCATTCATGTACCCATGCATTCAAGAAATAGGTTAAGTGCTGAAACAGGAAAGGCTTTGGGTTAGATCTCCTGAGCATTATTCCAATATCTTTATTCGTCATTATCATTGGAGTCCCAGTTTGTATTATTAAGGGCTCTCTAGAGGAATTGCCTCACATGGTTATGTAGGCTGAGAAGTTCCTAAATATGCAGTTTGCAAACTCAAGACCCAATAGAGATGATGTTTCAGTCCAAGTCCAAATAGGAAAAAATATCTGTCTTGTCTTAAGGGATTCAGGTGGGTGTGGGGGAGCTCCCTTTTACTTAAGAAATAAGTAAACTTTTTGTTTATTTCTGTTTTAGGGAGTGCAATCTGCTTTATTCAGTCTGTTAGTTTAAATGTTTTTCAAAAGCCTTGGCCCTATACACATCCAGAATAATGTTTGACTAAATATCTAGGTACCCCATGGATCAGTGAAACTGATACATAAGATTAATCATCACATATTTGTCAACTGGCTAAACATTCAACTAAATGAAAAATTCACATAATAAATCAAATTTGTCCTTCAAACTTATTTTAAGAGATTGCTAATTCACCTTTGGAGAAGTCTGTAAGTTCCTTACAGTTGTAGTATTTATTTTGGATACTCCTCAAAATTCCAAACATTCTTAAAAGTTTTGATTTAGAATTCTCTTAGTTTGACTTTTTTACTGATAATTAAGTGTTCAAATATAAATCCAGTCCAAGGAGAGAACAGTATTATTTAAATTTTTTCAGCTTTACCAACATTTGGGAGGACTATAATACATAAGAGAGAATTTATTTCACTTTACATATAGCTGGAACAGAAATTTCAAATTTACTTAAGTGCAGAATTTCCACTGGAATTATAGTCTCTATTCAGTTGTGTTAAAGCAGCTCCTATACCAAGAAGGCTGCCCTGGATTTTTATATATTTTTAAGCAGGTTCATAAAAAAGAGGTCCCTTACCCCTTTGGAAGGAGAAGATAGCAAAAAACACATTAAATATTATACACAAAAGTGTGAACATAAAGTGAGCTTCGTGCATCCTGATTTTAGTTGCAAACCATTTTCCTTCTTTTATGGTCATGTGACATGCAATCAGATTTAATCAGATGACCCCTGGCCCAGCTTACTTGTTCTCTCCAACTGTCCGTATAGTACTTTATCTGCAAACTTTGGATCGGTGCTCTGTAAAATCCAAGATCTCCAAGTAAGTTTTTATCTCAAGCTAGGAATCATTGGCTCTGGGACTTGAAATCATTCATTCTTAGAATACAGCAGAACATCAAGATTGGATGAAATCACTGTGGATTCTATTAAATAGCGGCTTAAATGAGAATTACAGGCATCACCATGCCTGACAGTGTAACTGTTTTAGATTCCATTTATCAGTAAGATCATGCAGTGTTTATGCATGACTACCTGGCTGCAGGCTCTTTCTTTTGTGCTAAGAATGACTTTCACCTGATTAACAATGAAATTTAAATTAGGGAAAAGAAGATTGCTGAAAATTGCATTTGCTTTATGTTTAGATAGGAAGTGAGCCACACTTAAATAAAAACTTAAAAATATATTTTACTGGAAGGTTGACTCTAGGTATACTTAGAATATTTCAGCTCAAGCACACTTGGTGTTACTTAATAGTATTGTTATAGTGGTGATACTTAACAGAGATGTAATGGCTGTCTGCAGCCTAATATGCTCATCCCATCTCTTGATCTGCTAGTGGTAAACACTACATGGTACTCACCACATGATAGCACTGCCCTTCACTGCTCTTTTACTAGGCATCTACAGATTCACAGCTAGTTGAATTTTAATTCAAGGGTTAAATTGCAGGTAGATAATTCTTCTTGAGATTAGATAAGATTCAATTTGTGTTAAATAAAAAATTAATTCCATAAAACCAGATATTCTATTAAAATGCTTTTTAGAATACATAAATTATAAATGATTAAATTCTTAAAGTAAAAAACAAAAGGAAATTTTTTTTTAATGGAACACTTACTCTAAGTGAGACTATTCAAAGATTACATTGCACAATCAATCAGCAATTTCAAGTATACATGACAACACAAATTGGAAGTTCTTTTCATTGGAGATTTTTAGACATAATACTTTTTTGATATAAATAAATATTTTAGATATTTATTTTAGAATACACACATATATATTTAAATATATTTGTTTCTAAAGTTCTAAAAAGAGCCTATTTAATCTCTGTGTCCTGTGTGTTATAATGTAGAATGCATTTCCATTCAGATTACCTCTTTAAGCGAACTGAGTAATTGCATTGACTGGTAAGTTACAGTAGTTTTGGCATTTGAAATGACATCAGGCTTGTACTTCTACAACATTCATGATTTTTCTTTTGTTTTTACAACAGTAACACCTGTGAAGCTTTAGTTCTCTAATTAGGTCTCTGGAATTGAGAGGTACGATGAGGCCTGGAAGACTTCAGCAGTAATGTGGGGTTCCTGTTGACTAATTCTGTGATCCCCTCCCTCACAGTCTGACAATGAGGTAGGATGCTGCCCCAAAGGCTGTGCCTACAGTTGGGCATTCACACCCTGCTTGGCGAAGTGGCTAAAAGACATTCCCTCATTGACTGAGAGAGGAATCCCGCGGGCTAGGTCCACGTGCTATGTGCTGGAACTTTTGCTGGTGAGAGATGAAGATGTGATTGCAGTGTCTGGCTGTGTGATGAACACCAGAATGACTCATGGAGAGAGGGTGTTAACAAGGCTCTGGATCAAGTGTCACTCACTGTAATTTTTCACACACGATGCTCTTGGAAAGTCCCCTGCATGGAGGAAAGACACATTGATGTCTTTCAAAAGTGCACCGGTATAGTTACTGTATTTTTGTTTTCAAAAATCCCAAGAATCCCTGAAATACTGTCTTGCCCACTCAAGATATTGTTTACTTTCCCTCTTGGAAATGTTCAGTGGGTTCTACTGCATGTTGAATTTCAGTGAGGCTTAAACCTGTGTCAACTGTTTAATTGCTTCTCTCAGCTTGGATAAGTATATGTCTCAGCTACCCAAGCTTAGCTTCTCTACCAAAATTTGTCAGTTTATGTTTTAAACATTACTTTGGAAATTAGAACGGCTTGGAGAACTTAAGTTTTTCCATGATAAAGGTAATCACTTTTCAATATAATAAAGTTGCAAGAGTAAAAAAGAAAACAAAATCATTTGTATTTTCCTCAACCAAACTTGCCCCATTCCTTTTGGAGTTGGATTTTACTGTATATTTATAACTGTCTTAGATGTTATGCATATTTATTGTTGATCATTTTATAAATGAAGAAAATTATATATTAGTAGTATATTAGTAACTTTCCCATTGTTGGCACAAAACACCTGACACCCACAGTTTAAAGGAGAGCTTTATTTTGGTTTAGGGTTTTAGAAAGTTCACTCCCTGGTTGGCTGGCTTCAAGGCAGAAACATACTGGTGGAAGCGCATGGTGGAGGAAAGCCACTCATCCGTGGCACCCAGGAAGCATAGAACAAAGGGAAGATTGGGGACAAGAATACACCCTTCCAGGTTAGGCCTCCAGTGACACATTGATGAGTTTACCCCTCCCTGCCATGATCTCATCAGCTTCCAAAAGCCCTACCCTTGAACACATTGGGAGTGTTGTGGACATTTGAGATCTCAACCAGAACAAGCAAGAAAAATATACACCACTAATGTTAACATAGGTGATCCTTGATTTAGGATGAGGTTATGTGCCAGAAATCTATCAATAGGCAGAAGTACATTGAATGCTCATAACTCAGCCACACAGTAGATTGAAGAGTATGGGTTGTTTCCCCTCATCAACACACCGCTGACTGGGAGCTGCAGCTTGCAGTGCTGCACAGCATCTGGAGAGAACATCTGTTACTTATCACTAGCATAAGAAAAGATCAAAATTTAAATTCAAAATTCAGAGTGCAGTTTCTACTATGTATGGCTTTGGCACTACTGTAAAGTCTAAAAGTCTTAAGCTGAACAATTGCAAGTAAAGGATCATCTGTATTTTGGTCTATTTCCTTACTAACTGTCATGTGAAAAGAATAATTCAATGACACTTGTTAAAGTGTGGTAAGGAAGACTTTATTCTGGATCATTGCCATATGTGTAAGGACCTGCAGTGAGGACAATGGGATTTGGCTGCGGGGGAGAGAGATTGGGCTCAACTTCAAATATACCATGGGCAAGTGAATATTAACAACCAAGGAACAAGGTAGATGCTGGTGGGTGGAAAAACTTCTCAAAGGTACCATCAAGAGTAAGGAGATTCTGGATACCTGAACTAATAGGGTTTTTGCTGAAGACAGGGCAGGGTGATTCGATGTCACGTGGGGTTGGAGGAAGGTGAACCTGACCAAATGTTGAGGGTGAAAGATTTTTACTAACATGATTTAGCAAGGTTCTTGCTAAATCTGGATTTTACAAAACAATGCAAGATGGGCCTGGGGGAATGTTCAGGAGCCTGAATGAAGTTTGATCAAGTAAAAAATCTCTGTCACAAGCAAGGTCCATCTGCACACTTAGGATGAAAAATTTGCTGAATAAAAATGTTTATAATATTACTTATAGAAACAGAATGAAGTAGAATATTTTATGGATCTATTCAAATTTTTAAGAACAATTTCTCCAAAGAATTTCTAATATGTTATTTTCTGAAAAAATAAAGTGTATGGACCAATTTTGAGTAGTCTGCATCACAGAGTGACTTCTGCATAATCTGTTTCTGCTTTTTTCCTTTCGAAGGCTTTGGTCCTTCACAAACATCTCCATGAGGTACTCAGAGAACACCTGAAAAACTTGTATTTTATTCTGATTTTTTCTCTAAATTCTTACAAATAGAGTTTTCTTGGAAAATGAATACAGGCTTACATATAATAATGGCAACTTGTGTTGTTTTAGTCTTTTTTACACTTCTTATTGGTTTTATTTTTTCCATTAAACTCTCTACCATATTTATGAGAAATATTTCAAAACACAAATTATAGTATTTTTTCATCTAATGAAGAGTAGTGACTAACCACTAAGGGAAAGGCACATACATACTAGATGCATTTTTTTGTGGTTGCTCAGAAATGAGACTACAAGTGAAATGTGTTTCTATTATTTGTTATTAAGCATATTGGAAAACTTCAGGTATCTCTTTGGAGTACAGGGTTTGAGTTCAGAATCCAGAGATCCTGCTAAGTGCATTATTTAGCACACCTGGGATAGGATGAGGTAACAAAAATCCTATCTTCTCATTGTGCTTTGGCAGGATCACAGATATAATAAATTTTAAATTATTATCCTTTAGCTAGAAAGTGTTTAACTTTTCAAATAACTGCACTTATTAATAAAAAGATAAAAAGCATGATTTTCGTAGGTTTTCTCTGGCCATGATTAATGGACACAAAATCATTTAGTGTTTTAATTACACAGGGAAATCACAAATGATGATTAATTGATGTAATTTTCTACATGATTAATAAAACATTGAATTTACTATTAACATATGGCTTGGGATGTGATTTTCCCCCTTTCCCATCTGTCTTTTCTTTTTTCCTCTTTTCTTTCTTGGTTTTTTCTTCCTTAGTTTTCTTCTCACTTTCCTCTTTTCACCTCCTTTCCTTGTTCTATCTCTTCCTTCTTCCTTCCCCTTCTCTCTACTTCCCTTCTGTCTCCCTTCCCTCTTTCCCTTCCCTTCTTTCTTTCCTCTCTCCTTTTCTATGTCCTTCTGTCCTTTTGTTCTTCTTCCCCTCCTTTATTTTGTTTTAAAAAATATTAAAGAGGACCTTTACGGTACAATAATCATTGTGCTCTAGGATAGGGTTTTGTTACATTATTGAGAAGAACTTGGACATTCTGAATTACTATTTTATCTATTATATGCAGCCCAGATTAAATGAGTGTATTTGTTTTAAGTAAATTTGTTTTGAAATAAACATGTCCTTGTAAAGTGATAGAATATGATTTATAAAGTAAATACGACTTCCTAATTCACAAGAGATTTTGTGTAGAAATCAATGATCTCCCAACATTTCTCAAGGCTGCTTATGAGCTCCATGAATCCTTAACACTGAGCAGGATGCACTGGGGGATTGTTTATTGACAATGTTAAAGAAAAATATTCACATAGACACTAAAGGAGTAGATGCATGTTTTATTCAGGAGCTATTGCAAGAGGGGAAAAGAGACCTCAGTGTAGAACGAGGCTCAATTCTGAGTATAGCAGGGATAAGCAAGGAAAGAAAAGAGTGGGAGTCAAAGGACAGAATATTTTTAAGAGGAAACATCAGGGAGAAGAGGGGATACTGGTCACATCAACTTGATAGGGTTCTCACTGAAGGCAGGCCAGGGTGATCAGACATCATTCGGAAGACAGTGAAAGCTGAATTTAATCAGATATTGAGGTGGGGGATTCTCACTAGACTGACTCCTCAGAGTTCTTGGTACAAGTGAGCCAGGCAGGTCCGGTAATGGTGGAGGCCAAGGTCAAGTGTAGAGGCTTAAAGGAATGTGAATAGGGTCAGGTCAAGAAGAGTCTGGGTAAATCCTGGCGCCTTAACTATTTTCTCTCTGATGAGTTTTGAATTGCAAAGCATTATTTCTCCCAGCAATGAGCTTCTCTTTTTCTAAGCAGTCATTTTGATAAATAACACAGGCAGCTCAATACTCTCAATATTCTTTCAGGCTTGATTCTGGTTTTACCAGTGAGTAGAGATAAGGACTTTAATGATGTGACAGCAATTTGTAATGTGATTAGTGAGCGGTGTGAAGGAGAAATAAATCTAATGCTTTCAGCTATAGGGCTGAGGTAAAACAAGCAAGATTTTGCAGGAAGCAGCTGAAGGGTTTGATCTTGGAGATGCCAGCCCTGGCCTGAGGGACACACAGCAGCTGTTCTTGCTATCTTTTGCTTTGTGAAACACTGAAAATTTTCACGCGGCTTAGACTTTTATAGAAATCAGAAGATGGCAGGTTGTCAATACAGGAATTTGCATCAGAGCTAAAATAGTGTTTGTAAGAATCTGGAGCAGTTTTAAGTTTCAGTCTGGCCTAAGCAGCAGGAACTTGTTACCTGTCTGCTCAGGTTGCAATAGGGGGAGAAGAAGCTCTAATGAAGGTTGGCATCAGTGAGCTTATTAGTCCAAGCCAGGATATCTATAGGCTGAGAAGTTCTGACAGTATAAGAAGTTTAAATGATTCATGATCAGTCTCTTAGCTGTCATTAACATGCATTACTATGACCTATAGGAGACCATGTCTCAGGGTGAAGTGACTCTTACCTAATGCTACTGATTTTATGCAGTTTTGAGACTGTTCTTTTGGAAACATGGGACAAATGACTACAAAGGGATTAAGAGCACTGATATTCTTCTGGAGTGTCAGTTATAGATAGATAAATATAGAAGACTGAACCCAAATGTAGTTTTGAAAGCAGATCCTATGGGATTCTTGAGTTTAATTTTAGGGTGTTTGTCCTATTTGTTTTCTGTGGGACACTAATAATAATTAAGAAGGAGAGTGAAAGAGGATCTTTTAGAGGTTGTTTAATTAAGCAGAGTTGTGGAGAGTGCAATGTGGTGTGAAATCTAGCAAAAATGTGGTCAACTGGGCCTCTAATGTCCAATGTCCAGAAACCAGTTACCAGATTTGGAAAAAGCATAGCCCAGAAGGAATTACCAATGCCTAGAGGGAAATAATCCCCATGCAGACCTACAGGATCCTTAAGTGCATCCCCAATCCAACCTGAGGACACCAGGAAAGATCTTGTGCAAATGAGAACAAATCTCTTTGCATAGGTGCAAGTACAGCTGAGGGAGACCAGGATCAGTAGCAGGTCTGCTCCGGATACCTGGACAAGGATGTGCTAAGCATCCTTCAAGAGGACCACAGCCAGCCTCTTCCCAGAGCACTGAGATCTTCAAACTAAGAGTCACAGTGGTGTCTCAGACATGACCTGTTCCATGGGTTAGACACACCTAGTATTATAGTCTTGTCACACTCCTGGTGACAATTCATTTCCCACTTACTTGATTTTGATGCTGTTTCTTTCTTAGTCTGCCGGATCCTGTCATGGATATTCATGTGAGATCAAGCTAGAACTATCTTCCATCTAGTGACACAATGGCCCCAAGGATTTCTGTCAGTCTCTTGGTTTCATAAGTTAAAGCACTCAGAGAGATGTAGGTGTGATCCGAACCAATGACAGTGGGAGCGGAGAAGCAGGTTTGCAATAGACAGGATTTGGAAATTCATTGGATATGACCATTATGGGAATGGGAAGAGGCAGAGCTCAGCCTGGGTCATGGTATTTAAAATATTTGTTTAAAGAAAGGAATTTGTTCAAAGCTAAGGTTAGTCTCTCAAAAAAGCCCATGCACACACATTTTGTCTACTCTTTTAGGAGACTCACAGATGATATAGCCAAAGGTTAAGAACATTTTTGTAGAAAAAAAATCCTGGAGATTGGACAGGGTGATCTGAAAGATTCCTTTTGCTCTTTCAATATTAGAATAGTTACAGAACCTAAGTAAAGACATATTCTTGGGCTACTGATAACTCTAAGGGAGTCAGGAAGAGGAGCTGGTGAGTTTTTTTGGAACTGGTCAATCTGAAGCACCAGTAGAGAATTCATGAGATGTTAAATAGATCAGTAATGTATATTTGGAGAAAGTGCATAGAGTATTAGATTTGCATTGTTTAATAATGTAATCATTGGCCACATATGATCATTGAAAACTTTAAAAGAAATGTAGTTGATCCTATCTGAGTTGTACTGTTTGTGTACTTGAAGTATGTGTTATTTTTAAAGAAAACAAAAGCCAAAAGAATGTAAAATATCTCGCTTTTATAATATTGATTCATTCTGAAATAATATTTGGGTATAGTAGGTTAAATAAAATGTATTAGTAAATTGATTCCATCTTACTTTTTAAATGTGGCTATTAGAGGATTTAAAATTATGTATGTAGGTTGTATTTGCAGCATGCACTATATTTCTATTTGATAGCCCTGCTCTAGATATTTTTTTGTGGGTGTCTATCAGAGGCAACCTGGGAACAATTGAGATGTTCTAGGTGAGATCATAGAAAGAGCAATGCAGAAGCCTGAAGGCATAATTATGGGACATGTCTACTTTTACAGATCTAGAAAAAGAGGCTGGAAGGAGCTACAAAATGAAGTCAGAAAAGAAGGTAAAGTTGGCATCTCAGGAATGTGAGGAAGAAGGAGCTTTAAGAGAGATGGAAGAGGAAATAAGTAAAGAGACACTGTGTAGAGGAATATAAAAACCGTAATGAATATAAAGCTTATATGTCATAAATATGAGCTAAAATTAATAATATCAATAAGAATGAAAATGGGGAGAGGGGATTTGGAGGAGACAGAGAAGTGGAAGGAAAGGGAAGAAGATTAAAAAAGAATCAAGTTGTATTATGTACATGTACTCAGCCCCAAGGTGACTAAACTGTGTGCACTGCAAAGTGAACTAATACAAAATAATAAAAAAAGAAAGGTGGGCTCATGAACAGGATCATGATAAGTAGTCTGGCATTTATTTT